CCGGCCCCGTCCTTCCCGCCCGGCTCTCCTCAGGGCCGGGCTCCTCGCAGTGGGGACGGCTGCCAGGAGCTCCCCTGGCTCCATGTACCGCGGCGACGGCCCCAGCGCTCCGGCCCCGGCAACGCAACGCCCCAGCCCCTCGGGGCTGTTCAGACAATCCCTCCATGAGGGCCGCGGAGCAGGAAGTGCTAACCCAAAACCGGGGTTGTCCCTGCGCCCTCCTGCTACATCTCTACAAGGACAGGGGATGTTTTCCCACCACCATTCCTATTGCTTAGGGGTTTCTCTTCCCCCTCCTGCAGCACCAGCCCCATAGGATCAGCTGCCCTCACTAGGGCAGTGCAAACCACCCCAGCGCATCCCGCTTTTGTCCCCAGCCCTGGGAGCATGAGGGAGGCAGAGATATGGAGCCATGGGAGCTTCTTCCTCCTTCTCCCCCCCGCTTTCCTCCTTCCTTTCGCTCTCAATGGGTTTTGCTCCCAAGGGGACCATCACACACTGAGGGACCACCAGGCCCTCACCGGGGAACGGCACATGGGACAACACTGCTCAGCGGAGCCAATCCCCAGGCACAACCGCTTGGAAAAAAGTCTGGTTTAATCCTCCCTGGGCTTCAGCCCTAGGGTGACACTGGCAAGGGATGAATCCAGATGGTGGCAAGGGACAAAGCTCACCACCTAATGAGCATCCCTCCTTTCTCCAGCACCTGCAGATCCACATGCAACGTCCAAGGAGTAACAAAACAGTAACACACAGCCCGCACCCAGGCTCGACCAGCAGCCAGTTCTCGGGAAAACAACCCCAAAATCCAGACGGGCAGGAGATGGTGGAGTTTCTTGTTGCTCCGGACTCTCCTGCTCTCCCAGGAAAATATGTCCCCAGGAGGGATGGAGCTTTGTGGTCCACAGGTCCCTTCGTCAAGCATGGGAAGAGCTCTGGGGTTTTGCCCTTGGGACAAATCCTGTTTTGAGGCCGGCCGTGTGCAAGTTTGAAGGACCATGGTAGTCCAGCCAGGATGACTGTGTCTCTCAACCACAAACAGGCAGAACCAGCCACGGGGCAGCGGCCCCCGACGCTCCCACCTTGGTCATAGCACCGTGTCTCTAGGAAGAAAGGGAAAGCACTGTGATAGTGGTCAAAGCCAGGCTGGTTGCAGGGGGACAAGGGACCCCTGCCACCCCCACCAGCCTTGCCTTCAAGTACAGAGCCACTGCAGCACTCGGTGCCAGCAACCCACTGCAGGCAAGCGCCTGCTGAGTCCAAAACACTGGAAGCTCTTCCCACCTTCCCACTCTTTGGCTCTTCCGCCAGCCGGGCAGCCAGGGTCACTTCACACGGCCGAGTGTGAAGAAAAACAAAACTCCCTGGATGCCGCAGCATCCACCGCCCCGGCTCTGCCTCCGCACGGGCCCTGGCGGCCCCGACCCTGGGAAGGAACCACCAGGGCAGGCATGAACGGGGCTCTGCCGGCTTGTTAACCCCCAGCTTGTCCCCGTCCTCCACCGTGTCCGCGCCTGGAGCGGAGGCCAAGGGCGGATCATGTCCCAGGCTCCCCGGTCTGGCTGCTCCCGGCGTTGCTCCCGGTGCTGCCAGCACGAGCAACCCCAGACCGTGTCGAGGAAAGTCTGACCCGGTGTTAACCATGGCAGCGCTGCCTTTGGCCGCAGGAAATGCTGATGTCGGGATGCTCCTCACCCTGCAAAATCTCTCCTGGGAAACAGGGCCCCAGATGCAGGGCAGGGGCACCCATTTCAATATGTGTGGGAGAGACAACAAGGACAAGGACCTTCGGGGTGAAACATGTCCCTACAAGAGGCCTCAGCACTCTTCAGACTAAGGTGACTTCTGCAGAAGGTGAAGGAATTTTAACCCTTCCTTGCTTGACTGATGGGCTGGGAAAGGCACGGAGATGGGAAGAGCAGGAACATGGTCTCCTGTCCCCTCTAGCCCCACTCAGAATGAAAAAACCCGGAGGCTGAGATGCCTCCAAACACAGCGCACACAGGGAGGTGCTTTCTGGCTTCTCAACTCCCGCCCGTCTCCTCCCCAGCTCCTCAGGAGCCAGCAGTGAGGACAAAGGGATCAGACACGTGTCCCACGGCCGCTCCCGGCAGCCTCGCTCACCATCAGAGCTCGTCACGGGCGGCTGAGCGGAGCGAGTGGCCCACGCCGCCCCGCGGGTCCTTCAGGGTCTTCTGCGAGCCATTCCAGCCAGTTTTCTTGGAGTCGTCGTCCCAGATGGTGGAAGTCTCCGTGTCGCTCAGCCAGTTGGTGTCCCCGGCGTAGTGGGTGGGATACACCAGGAGGGGGTGAGCCGAATACACCAGCAGGTCCCGCGGGGCAAAGTGCCGCTTGTAGTCCTCACTGCGGAAGGCAGAGCACGCCCAGGAGAGCAAACCCCAACGCAGAGCGCGGCTCCGTGGGGAGAAAAAGGGCTCAGAAAGGAGCACTGACCCCCTGGGGCTGGGCAAGCCACCCCCTGGGGCAGGCGATGGCGGGGAAGACGCTCACCACCACGACGGAGACGGGGTCCCGGGGAAGGCCGCGTGCCCGGCGGCGCGGCCTCCTCCCCGCCTCTGAGCGAACGTCTCAAACCGCGGGCCACAC